GGGGGGGGCATAGAGAGGAAGCAGTCAAAGGTTGTCCAGAAATATTCTGTCGGTGAAAGCCCCTGAGGACACAACGTGGCGTGCCCGCTGATGAGGCCCACTGGGATGTCACTGGGGACAGCGGAACAGCTTGGCCTTCGCCATATACCCGCCACACGCAACTGTGACGTATAGTGCTCATGTTGTGGTTATTATTTGTTTTTGTTTTGCTGTTTGTTTTGTTTTCGGTTGGGTTAATTATTTTTTTGGGCTCTCTCCATCGCTGTTCATGCGTTTGTGATCTTTCGTCTCCTGACCTGTCTGCATCCACTTGCCGTTGCAAACTTCTCCAGTATCATGACATATCGTCACAAGTGTGGTCAATGTGACCTGATTGTGTTGCAAGTACCGTAAAACTGTTATTTAATCTACTATATATTAAAAAGGTGTAGATAAGTTTTACATTGGGCAAATTATCTCTTAGTTCTGTAAAAGTTTTGAAAGAGGGTTGGTAAACTCTTTATAAAACTGAAAACTTAAAAAAATGTTTTATCTGGAGCAAAACATGACAGTTGGAATGTTGGTATTTAGTTTTCTTTGTAGACGTTTTATATGTGTGCTTCTTTTGTGCCTAATTTTGAAAAAGGGGGGCATCACCTGAGTGCTTGTGTCTCGCGGCATATAAGTTGTCCGTGTTACGCGCTGTTGTGTAATTGTCGTGTGATTGACCAAGAAGACTATTGTATGAAAGGAGCGTTGTCAGAGAAAGTACAGACTTCAATTACTGACTCTGCTGACTGGAGAAAATCAGCATATTATGTGAAGACTTCAGGGTTTTTTGTTTTGTTTTTTTATTTTTTGTTTGTTTGTTTTTTGTCCCTTGTTGTTTTTGGTGCCGATATTTGTAAATTATTTATATATTATGTAAAAAAATTTCCAGCATGGCACACATTGTTTTGCTTGATGATGATAGTGATGATGATGTGTTTTTTATCGCACCTTTTTTGGCATTATGACGTAGATGCGCGCACTTTTGTTACCATAGCTTGTCGTCATTAGGTGTAACATTATTTTTTGTATGTTCCTGATTAAGCCCGTGGTCGGGCGAAACATTGAACTTATATAACCCATCTTTAGAAATTTTTCAAGTTTAAACCCCTTTTTTATTCTCTGCTGTTTACGATGGTGATGTAAAGACTTCAGTTGGAACCAGTGGTCACTGACCTCAGAGAAAGTTGCCCGTATTCTTCTTATAACCCGTAATGTAGTCTCTACCACCACGCTTTGAGTGGTATAATTGTTGTCTGTGTTGTTGGAATGTATAATGCGATAGTTGCCCCTCCCTCCTTCCCTCTTCCCCCTGTATGTATCTGTCTGTCTAACTGTCTGCTGTCTGTTTGCTGTCTG